TCCTTAATGCCCACCCCCCATTTTCCCCACTCCCATCAACCCTCAGTTTGTTCTCTGTAGTTAAGAGTCTCTTACAGTTTGCCCCTCCTTCTGTTTTTATCTTATTTTTCCTTCCCTTCCCCTATGATCATCTGTGAAGTTTCTCAAATTCCACATGAGTGAAATCATGTGATATCTGCCTTTCTCTGACTGACTTATTTTGCTTAGCATTATACCCTCCAGTTCCATCCACATTGTTGCAAATGGCAAGACTTCATCCTTTTTCAAAGCAGAGTAGTATTATACACACACATACATACATACATACGTACACCACATCCTTCTTAATCCATTCATCAGTTGATGAACATTTGGGCTCTTTCCATAATTTGGCTATTGTTGATAGCGCTGCTATAGACATTGGGATGCATGTGCCCCTTTGAATCAGCACTCCTGAATCCTTTGGATAAATTCCTAGTAGTGCAATTGCTGAGTCATAGGGTAATTCTATTTTCAATTTTTTTTGAGGAACCTCCACACTGTTTTCCAGACTGGCTGCATCAGTTTGCATTTCCACCAACAGTGCAAAAGGGTTCCCCTTTCTCCACATCCTCACCAACATCTGTTGTTTCCTGAGTTGTTAATTTTAGCCATTCTGACTGGTGTGAGGTGGTATCTCAACGTGGTTTTGATCTGTATTTCCCTGATGATGAGCAACGTTGAGCATCTTCTCATGTGTTTGCCATCTGGATGTCTTCTTTGGAAAAGTGTCTATTCACATCTTCTGCCCATTTCTTCACTGGATTATTTGTTTTTTGGGTGTTGACTTTGATAAGTTCTTTATAAATTTTTGATACTAACCCTTTATATATCATTTGCAAATATCTTCTCCCATACCGTTGGTTGCCTTTTAGTTTTGTTGATCGTTGCCTTCGCTGTGCAGAAGCTTTTTATCTTGATGAGGTCCCAATAGTTCATTTTTGCTTTTATTTCCCTTGGGGTGCCTGGGTGGCTCAGTCAATTAAGGGTCTGACTTCGTCTCAGGTCAGATCTCGCGATCTGTGAGTTAGAGCCCCACTCCGGGCTCTGTGCTGACAACTCGGAACGTGGAGTCTGCTTCAGATCCTATGTCTCCCTTTCTCTCTGTTCCTCCCCCACTCGCACTCTGGTTCTCTCTCTCTCAAAAATAGACATTAAAAAAGTTTTATTTCCTTTGCCTTCAGAGACATGTCAAGTAAGAAGCTGCTGTGGCCGAGGTCAAAGAGGTTGCTGCCTGTTTTCTCCCGTAGGATTTTGATGGCTTCCTGTCTCACATTTAGGTCTTTCATCCATTTTGAATTTATTTTTGTGTATGGTATAAGAAAGCGGTCCAGGTTCATTCTTCTGCATGTTGCTGTCCAGTTCTTCCAGCACCATTTGCTAATGAGACTATCTTTTTTTCATTGGACACTCTTTCCTGCTTTGTCGATTAGTTGGCCATACTTTTGTGCGTCCATTTCTGGGTTCTCTATTCTATCCCATTGATCTATGTATGTGTCTGTTTTTGTGCCAATATCATACTGTTTTGATGATGACAGCTTTGTAATACAGCCTGAAGTCCAGGATTGTGATGCCTCCAGCTTTGGTTTTCTTTTTCAACATTACTTTGGCTACTTGGGGTATTTTGGGGTTGCATACAAATTTTAGGGTTGTTTCAGCTCTGTGAAGAATGCTGGTGTTGTTTTGATTGAGAGTACATTTAACATGTATATTGCTTTGGGTAATATCGACATTTTAACAATATTTGTTCTTCCAATCCATGAGCATGGAATGTTCCTCATTTCTTTGTGTCTTCTTCAATTTCTTTCATAAGCTTTATGTAGTTTTTAGCATACAGACCTTTTACCTCTTTGGTTAGGTTTATTGCTAGGTATTTTATGGCTTTGATGCAATTGTAAATGGAAATGATTCCCTGATATCTCTTTCTGTTGCTTCATTATTGGTATATAGAAATGCAACCAATTTCTGTACATTGATTTTATATCCTGCAACTTTGCTGAATTCCTGTATCAGCTCTAGCCATTTTTTGGTGGAGTCTTTTGGGTATGTAGAGTATCATGTCATCTGCAAAGAGTGAAAGTTTGACTTCTTCTTTGACAATTTGGATGCCTTTTATTTAGATTTGTTGTCTGCTGAGGCTAGGGCTCCCAACACTATGTTAAACAACAGTGCTCACCTGCCTCCTTTAAATAGTCCCCACCCACTGCTTCCTTGCAGACAATCTCTGCTTTGTTGTCCTGCCTGCCACTCCTTTACAGTGTATTCAATAAACTGTTACCTCTTTTGTTCTGTGTGGAGTGAATCCTTCCATGTCCCCCTCCCCACCTGCCCGCAGCTTCCAGGTCCATCTGATTGGGTTGTGATTGGGTTCTTCCACATTAGGAGACCCCCATCATCAGAGGTCCCCATCATCGGAGAAAAACCACTCCTAGTAAAGGTCAAGAATTTAGATTTCTTTGCAGTCTTCCAGCACAATAGTGAACATCTAAAGAGTGACTGGGCAGGGTCACCATGAATATTTTCCAAGACCACTGACTCATCAAGACCTCTGGCTCCAGGGCATAAGTAACTTGTGGAAGACACCTAAACACTTGCCTTTGTTCCTGGATGCAGGAACTCCAGGCCCCAAGCAAAGACAAGATTCGTTCTTTTTTCCTTTCTGAGTCTCTCAGACTCTATGCCAGTATCTACACTCTTTTTATGTCTTTAACAAACTGGTCTCACTTCCTCTCAGCTGTGTTTCTTTTTTTTAATGTTTATTTATTTATTTTTGAGAGAGAGAAAGAAAGCATGAGCACAGGAGGGGCAAAAAGAGAGGGAGAGAGAATCCCTAGCAGTGCCACGCTCAGCACAGAGCCTGATGAGGGACTCAATCTCACACACTGTGAAATCATGACCTGAGCCAAAATCAAGAGTACAATGCTTAACTGACTGAGCTACCGAGGTGCCCCTCAGCTGTGTTTGATTTCTACCCTGCACAAAGCCAAGGATTTTCTTGGCTGGTCTTGCAGGATCCCTTCTGGGTCCTCAGGCCCAGCCGGCCTGCATCAAGGTGACTTGGATAGGGCCAGATTCTGGATATATTCTAAAGGGTGCTCCAGCATCCACCCAATTTCTCAAGCCAAAAACCTAGGTCTTATCTTTGATTCTTCCCTTTCCCTCATATCCCATATGCAATCCATCAGCAAATCCTTGTAGTTCTAGCTCCAAAATATACATCAAAGTCACTGTTTCTGTCCATTTTCACTGCCCCACAACCCAACTAAACCACCCGAATTTACCTCTCACCTGGATTGCTGCAAGGTAACCTCTTAATCTGATCTGTTTCCTCTTTTACAATCCTTCCCCACAAACAGCTGGAGGCATCATCTTAAAAATTAAATCAGGGGCGCCTGGGTGGCGCAGTCGGTTAAGCGTCCGACTTCAGCCAGGTCACGATCTCGCGGTCCGTGAGTTCGAGCCCCGCATCGGGCCCTGGGCTGATGGCTCAGAGCCTGGAGCCTGCTTCCGATTCTGTGTCTCCCTCTCTCTCTGCCCCTCCCCCGTTCATGCTCTGTCTCTCTCTGTCCCCAAAATAAATAAACGTTGAAAAAAAAATTAAATCATATCACAGCAAGGATGCCTTCATTTGTAATCCTTTAAGAGCTTTCCAAAGCATTAAGAATAAAGGCCCAAATCCAGCAAGAACTGCAAAGGCTAATGTGATCTGCCCCTGATGACCTCTATCCACATCTCCATCCCTCTTTTTCTTGATCATCCTTCTCCTGGGCTCCTTCCTGTTCCTCAAACTCACCAAATTCATTTCTGCTTTGGAGCTGTGCTGTCCCCTCTATCTAGGTCATCATACACCAGCTCTTTTCATGACTGGCTTCTATCAACTGTCAAATCTCAGTTCACCTGTCCTCTCCTTAGAAACCTCCCTAATAACTCTCACCTAGCATAGATACTATACTAGACCTCATAAAATCCACACACCTTGTATCAGAAAACTCACAGTCTTTCAGGGGAGAAAAATAGGTTAATACTTATTAAGTAAGATCACAGGACAGTAAATGAGTTGAGGGCTTTTGAAGCAGTGGGCTATCATACACTGTCAGGGCCAGAAGGGCTAGCCTCCCACCTGACATCCCCTGACAATGTCCAGGTGACGTGTGGTTGACATCTCCATTGAAAGGATTACCCAATGCTGGACAGCTTTGGAATTGGGACTTCCCTTAATCTGAGCTGTGATATGATTCTCTGCAGTTACTACTCTTTCGTGCCCCTCTCAGGAAACATAAAACAAACAGAAACCCTCTTTTAGTGGTCAGTTTGGATTCTCAGGGCCAAACTTGCCCGGTGCCTTGTTCTCCCATCCCAAGCTTCCCTCCAGGGCACTCTCCTCTGGACTTCTCTCTTACCTACCGAGGTCCACAACTGCTTCCAGCAGTCCTGATGGGATCGGGCTGCCACTGGGCATTGCTCTTTCCTCAGGACCCCTACCTCAGGCCCACGACCCTCCATCCGTTCCTTAGACATCAACCTCCCCGCCTTCTGTACGCCACACCTCTCCAGCTGGAGCGAACGCCACATCATCTCCCCGTGTTGTGCCTAGCACAGGGCCCGACACACAGCAGTTTCTTTAAAACTGCTGGGAGAATCAAACAATACATCGTTGCCCCTGGGAAACCATCAAAGGCTCCTATATCCCGTGGGAATTCGAAAGCCAAAGTGGGGTCCCCCGCCCACCCTACCTCCAGCCCGCCTCTCAGTCTATCCTACGCCAAGTCTCGCCTTTCCATTAATCACTCTCTTCAAGCGAGTAATCTTTCTGGGGACTATAATCCCTCATGTTTCCCCCTATGTTGTCCCAATTGTGAAAACCTTTTATTTCGACTATTAGCAAAAAGTCGGCCCATTCCCTGCCGTAACCACGCCCCCTTCATCACATTCCCGGGGCGAACCGGAAGAGATCGCGCCTCCCCTAGTTCGCAGACCCGGAAGTAGATGTGTCTCACGGAAGCCGGGTTTGGCCCTGCGGCTGCTGCCGTCGCCGCGGAGAAATTGTTGGAGCTGGCAGCCTAGGAATGGTGAGACCTCGCGGTTCGCTTCTGAGGGTTCTGAGCAGAGTTTGGGGCGAAATGGAGTTTTCCAGAGTGCCGCTGGGGAAGACCCCCCCCACAATGTTTGGGGCCCCGCCCCGGTAGCGCCCCGAAAATCTGCGCATGCGTGGGCCGGACCGGGCCAGAATCTGGTCCTAGATGTTACGCATGCGCAAAGGTGGGCAAGGCGAAGGTGGGGTGAGACTTGACCTGGGAGTTAGTCTCCTGTCCCTCGCCACCAGTTCGTGGGGCTTAACCCAAGGCAGCGAGGACATCTGGGTGCACTCGGTGCTTTGCTTTTGAGTTTCAGGGCTGACTTCACCACTCTTATTCCGAGCTCCAGAAACAGACCGGCACTACTCCCCCACCGCGGGTGTGCACTCGGAGAACGAGGGCCAGGGAAGGAAGGGGGCCCAGACTTAGCCTCAGGCTACCCTTCACCTGACCCCCAAGTGTCAAGATTCCCAGCTGTATCCTACGGAGCCGAGCGACTAGAGCACCTGGGGGCAGGGCCAGAAAACTGTGCGGAGAGCCACCCTGGTCTGAAGGGGCGGGGCCCGCAAGCGGCACGCCCAGAGAGTCCCCAGTACCTGAGTTCTCTGGGGTTAGGAGCAGGCGCCCCAGGGCGGTGGAAATTCGCTCAGTTACCAAACCGCGTTTTTTTAGGTTCCACGCAGTCCCACCCGCTAAATCTTCAGCCAAAGCTGAAAATGAAAATAAAAATTAGATGGACGGATCAGAGTTCGATCTCCATTTCCCTGCTTTGGCTTGGAAGGGCAAGGGTGGTGCTGCTGAACTGAGTGGGCAGCGAAGATAAGAAAAAGTGAGCCACTAATCCCTTGTTTCCTGCTGGTTTATAGTCGAGGCCCTTCCTAGCGACTGAGTAGAATCATAGAGGTCTGTGGACCCCCTAAAATGCTATGTGTTTGTACATTTTCCTGGAGTCCATAGCTTTTATATTCTAAAAGATGTCGGTGACCTTTAGAAAGCTGTTGGTTTATCAGGGTCATGGCAGAATAGAGCCTTGTGTTTCTTCTCCTTATGTCTTCCCTAGTTTATGGGATCCTGGGGGAGCTGTTCCAGTAGAAGGTGGGGCTGGCCCATTGGAAACCTGTGCCTCAGGGAGCCTTATTTCTCCTTTGCAGAATCTCCTCTCAGCCTCTAAGCTCACCTGGTCAGAATCCTTGGATGAGCCTGTGGGACCCTTCCTCCTAGCCCTGTGGTTTGGAACCAGTGGCTTTGGGACTGTAAGAGGATGGACAAAGGTAGTATGAGGCCAGGCCAGCTCCCCAAACGCTCAGGCGCCAAGCATCTGCTGATTCCACCCCGTGCCTGGCACGTATGTCTTTTCGTCCTGACTGGGCATTGCCACCTCCCCCTGGGCCAGCACCACCCACGTACCTCTCGGCAGAGGCCACAATTGACTGACTTGCTGTTGAGCTGCCGCTCTTTGGCACGGCTGCATTTTGATGGCAGAGGGAGCAGTTATGCCCAGAGCCCGGTGTGTCGGCATCACCAGTCTGACCTGAGCACCATGTGCTGCACGACATGACACGTGGCACCGGGAGAACTGCCCAGCGTGGAAGGTCTGGGCCAGGTCTGAGCCCAGATGGGATCTGGATGGCCAAGGAACTCCCACATTAAAACCTCAAATGTCAAGGAAGCAAGGGAAGGGCCAGGAGGGCTGGCTGGGGGAGGAGGAGCAGAGGAGGGGTCCCATGTTCAGAGGCTCAAGGCTCTACTAGGCACTTAGGAGACTTGAGTTCACTGCTTTTCTTTTTCTAGATTCTCAGGGGCTGCTAGATTCATCTCTGATGGCATCAGGCACTGCCAGCCGCTCAGAGGATGAGGAGTCGCTGGCAGGGCAGAAGCGGGCTTCCTCCCAGGCCTTGGGCACCATCCCTAAACGGAGAAGCTCCTCCAGGTAGTAAGGGTTTGAAGGGCCAGGAACTGGGCAAGGGCATTAGGTGCTACATGTCTTCACCACTGTTGCAGTGGCTACCCGAGCCCCTCTGGAGCCCAAGTACTGGCAGAGCCTTGTGCTTTTCCTACCAAATCCCTCTTGTGGGATATGGGCCAAGGGAGGGCGATCTGAGGTCTTTGACATGGAATCTTTGTGGTGCAATACCCTGTCATCTCAGAGGGATGGAGCATAGCAGTTCCATGCCCCATCCACTGAGCCGGAGCAGTTAGCGCCCAGCCGGGAACCTGCTCTGTTTCAGAGGCTGAGTGTGTGCAGGTGGGTCCTAGGGAAGGGGCAAGGGATGCTCACTGGGTAGGACTCTCCACAGGTTCATCAAGAGGAAGAAGTTTGATGATGAGCTAGTGGAGAGCAGCCTGGCTAAGTCCTCTACCCGGGCGAAGGGAGCCAGTGGGGTGGAACCAGGGCGCTGTTCGGGGAGTGAACCTTCCTCCAGTGAGAAGAAGAAGGTGAGGGATTGGGAGATGTGGGGCCAGGGCCAGATTTTGTTTTTCCCCACCACCTTTGCCAGCTGACAGGGGCCCTGGCAAAGGAGACTTGTGAGAAAATCGGGTGGCCTCAGCCCCAACCTCAGATGCCTCCCTCCTGAGAGCCCATCGCTCCCTACTCCCCCTTTCTTGCTGCACCCCCCCCCCACACACACACACCCTGTCAATGCGTCCTGTATCACATTCTGTGTGGGAGGCATGGAGCGTGCATCTATTCTGGGAGCAGACAGCCTGTTCCCAGCATTGCTGGGTGTAAAAATAACCCCCAGGTGGCATTGCTCTGGCCCTAGACACCGTACCAATAAGAGTGGTTTCCTGGTATCCTCCCCACCCACCCTCCACTCTGGGGTTGAGGGTGCCACCAGCAAAGAGAAGACCCCATATGTTCAAGGATTATGTAGAAGTACTTTGGGAGAGGTGGGAGGGGGAGGGGTGGGGACTAGAAAGCCGAGCTCCTGCCTGTGTTGCTTATGGTTGGGTGGGACCGGGGCCACCACACAGTGTGTGAAGTTCAGGGTCCAAAGCCCCATCTGCCCTGATGCCGGCTTTGAGCTCTTCCTGTCCTCTGCTCAGGTGTCCAAGGCCCCTAGCACTCCCGTGCCGCCCAGCCCAGCCCCAACCCCTGGACTCACCAAGCGCGTGAAGAAGAGCAAACAGCCACTTCAGGTGACCAAGGATTTGGGCCGCTGGAAGCCAGCGGATGACCTCCTGCTCATCAATGCTGTGCTGCAGGTAGTGCTTCCCACTGCAGGCTTCACGTCCCCCCTCTCCCCCCAGCCTGCGGTTCCCAGCCCCTGCACTAGCCCAGCAACACCCTGGGGGTGGCAGGGGAAGGGTCCTTCCCAGCTCTAGGGCTGGGACCAACCCATCTGGGGCCTTGCAGACCAACGACCTGACATCTGTCCACCTGGGCGTGAAGTTCAGCTGCCGCTTCACCCTTCGGGAAGTCCAGGAGCGCTGGTACGCCCTGCTCTACGATCCGGTCATCTCCAAGTGAGTGGGACCAGCTCTGGCAGCATGGAGGGACGAGGAACACTAGAATTCGGCTCCTGGAACAGAGAGAACTATACAAGGGCCCAAGGGAGGGGCCTGGGAGGCAGGACTCATGGGGCCTTGCATCCTCTGGGATGATATTGAAACCAGGCAGGCTTGGGAGGGAAGCTTCTTCCTGCTGCCAACCCGGCTAGTCCTGGCTTGATGCCAGAAGCAGGGGATCTGGAAGCTGCAGAAGCAGCCTGGAAAAAATATCCGAATGAGCGCCAGGAGCCCTGGTTCCACCCGGGTGGTCTTGGGCAGGTCACTTTCCATCCTTTCCCCACTGACCTCCACAAGAAGGAGTTGGAACAAAAGAACACCAAGGCCCCTAACAGTCCAAGTTTCAAGTAAGCCTGTGTGCATATGCCGTGCACACTTCCTCCTCAGCCACTTCGTTTAACATTGTCATTACTGGCGGGATGCTTACCACCCGTCTTCTGTTCCACGGTCTCTAACACCATTTAAGCTGTAGCCACGGCCCTGACAGGAAGGGGGCAGGGCTCAGCTTTGGAGAGAGGATGTGGTGGGCAGTGGGTGGTCTTGGGATCTCCCTCAGGACTGGTCTCTGGGGGCTGTGCCTTGAGTGTCTTCGAGGAGGTGAACACTGGAAACTCGGTTTGTTGAGTTGCCGTTACGCTTTCAACAAACGCATGAGGCCACAGGTGCAGTGCTAAGCCTTCGGCTGGTCCTGCTGAGGGCCTGGCCTCTAGTTCTGGATCTCAGAGGCCTATAGGAACCCCGGATTGCTTGACCCCCTCCCTTCAACCCTGCCCTCTTTCTCCCTCTACCCCCTCAGGCTGGCTTGCCAGGCCATGAGACAATTGCACCCAGAAGCCATTGCCGCCATCCAGAGCAAGGCCTTGTTTAGCAAGGCTGAGGAGCAGCTGCTGAGCAAAGTGGGATCGGTAAGGCTGAGGAGCAGAGAAGGGCAGGGTGGGGACCTAACCACTGGGAAAACTACGGATGTGGGGAGGCCCCACTGCCCAGAAACGTGCCTGGCAGGTCTCGTATATTGGCAGGGGCCTTTGTGGATGGGGTCCTTAGGAAGAGCCAAGACCGGCTCCCTCTCACTTCTCCCAGCTCCTGGTGGGGCGGGGTGGGGATGACGAGGTCGAGACAGGAATGAGAAAACCCAAATGCCGAGAACACGCTTCTTGCCCTCCAGACCAGCCAGCCCACCTTGGAGACCTTCCAGGACCTGCTGCACAGACACCCTGATGCCTTCTACCTGGCCCGTACTGCCAAGGCTCTGCAGGCCCACTGGCAGCTCATGAAGCAGTATTACCTACTGGAGGACCAGACAGGTAACTGGCTCCAGGAGCTGGCGGAGTGGGTGTGTGCGTGTTAAGTGTGAAGCTGTCTGGGCACAGTTGCCCTCAGGTGCCCAGTAACGGATCCCTCAGTGGCCCCCAGTGTCTTGCATCTCTTGGCAGCAAAACTTCCTTCCAGGAGGAAGGAAAGTGGCTGGAATGACACTCAGCAGCATGGTAAGGGTAGCCCAAACCGTCTGCAGTCCTGAGCAAAAAGTCTAAATGGCAGTGTTGTCTCCCACTTCCTGTTTTTGTTGTCGTTTTTAACATATTTTGCGATTATGTAAACAATACGCTAACATAGTCTTCGTGAATAACGTTGAAAGTGAATAAAAGGTGAAAGTCCCCTGCACTGCTTTATCTTTCCCCATTTCCCCCCCAGAGGTGGTAGGGTCTCTGTCTTTCTGCCCCTTCCCTCTCTCCACTTTCCTTCTCGCTGCCTTGGAGCCATGCGGAAATTCCCATTGGGCCTTCACACCCAGGCCCCCTGCCTTCCTCCTTTCCCAGGGGCCAGAACACTCTCTGCCCACCTCTTCCTCACCAGCAAGTTCTCGCTCCTGATGACAAACTCGGGGAAAGTCAGCTGACTGAAGTGCGGGAGGCTCTTCAATTTGACTTGGGATTTGGGATCAGGCTTTCGTGGTGCAGCGTAGTGTAGACACACACTGCCCTCCCTTCCTGGATGGTATTGCCCATCAGCGTCTCCATAGTTGTCCACACTGTTCTGGAAATGAGGCTTTGCCTGTGCGCTCCGCCTCCTCCCTGGGTCTTACTGCTCCTGGTTATCAAAAGATACTCCTGCAAGAGGATTTGAGGAGATCGTGTCAGGGACGCCCTGTCTTTCCTTCCTGAGGGTCTCTGCAGTTAGTGGGCAGCCCTCTTTATTCCTGCAGCTTCCACAGCTCTGCTTCTGCCTCAGACTCCGACGTCCCTGAATTCCCACAGAGAGTGGACACCAGATAAAGTTGATTTATGCTGCTGTAGCTGGCTTCTTTGAAAGTTATCTTGTGTAAACGTCTCTGTTAACTCAGAGGTTTAATTTTTCTCTCCAAGAGTCTTTTCTGTGGGTATTTGATTTCTCCTTCGCTGTCTAGTGCTGGGAGGTCCTAGGAACCGGGTAGATACACTGCTTGGTTCTCAAGTTGGTTGAGTATTAAATTGGTGGGATTTCAGGCAGCTGCAGTCGGGGAGCAGTCGGGGGGGGTGGGGATGACTGTCCCAGTCCCTTGTTTCCCACACAATCTGACCTAAGGGGGTTGAGGGTGTGGAGCACTTGTGGCTCCTGTGCAGCCCCCCTCACTTCCCCAGCCAGACAGTGACCACACCCCGGGTGTTGACAAACTCCCCAGCCGACGGTTTCACAGCCACTAACTACTGAGTGACACTGCAGTCCTGGGAACAGCTGGCCTTAAGGCAGAAGTTCTCAGAGTTTGTGGGCCCCCATCCCCTTTTGCAATGTGGTCAGAGAAAAAAAATGGAAAAACTTCCACGAAACTATTTATTCTCAACACATCTAATGGACTCTGATATTATTCTATCCCGTTTCTTTTTCTTTTGGGGGGGGCGGAGGAAGAAATGAAACTAATTTCATGACTGTCAATACCTCATGACCCGCAGTTTGAAAAATACTGGCTTACGGTGGGGGCAGCTCACTTCTGGCACATCCTGAGGAGCACTTGACCGGCATGTGCCTCTCTCTGCCCCCTGCCGAGTGTGGCAGAGAATATTTGGGAGCGTATGATGTGTCGGAGGAGCATTTTGGATTTGGAGTCAGAAAAATAGAGCTTGGGTCCTGCCTCTGTCCTAACCCTGAGTCACATGGCTTAACCCTGCTTCCTGTGTCTGTCCCCTCGTGTGCACAGGGGAGCTGACAGCGATGCCTTCCCTCCTTAGTTCAAGGCTGTGTGAGAACCCTCGCACACTGAAAAGCACACACAAAAAGTCAGCCTTAATTCCCTTTTCTTTCTAGAACCACCTCTGCCCTTAGCTAATGTCAGGAATTCTTTGTGCCAAAAGAGGGTGTCTAATCTGGTCTGTGCTCTGTTGCCTATTGATTGCAGCGCAAAACTGTTGCCACAGGTTGTCTTCACAGTTTGTCCCCTTAGTTCAGTTGCTGCTCGGCAGCTTAGGGTGGAGTAGGAGCGGCGGCGCTGACCGTCCCCCCGTCCTTTGTTCAGTGCAGCCGCTGCCCAAGGGGGACCAAGTGCTGAACTTCTCCGACGCAGAAGACCTGATTGATGACAGTAAGCTCAAGTGAGTGGCTGGGGCCACAGACAGGGTACAGAGTGGAGTGTGCCCCCCC